TAAATGTGTTTGCATTGGCCCTGAAAAGCCCTGTTGATGAAGAGGTTTTTAAGGTATTTTAGAATTAATTATCAGGGCTGTCATAAAGGGCGATAACCTTCAACACCTGTTAATGCTGAGTATGTTTAGTGGGTCCTTGATGTTACAGGGCTTGAAAAAAGTGTTTTCCAGTTGTCTGGGACTAGTAGATTTTGTTGTGGGGTAAGTAACTCTTCATTCTCACTTGTTCAATGGGCAAGGGCACGGGCAGGTTGTCTGCCAACTAAATGCAAGAGAGGTTAACTAAGACTTGCCCAGGACAAGCAGAATTTGAGAGTTGTTTGGCTGCAGGGCAAGCTGGAATTCAAGTTTTTTTCAAGCCCTCTGCTAAAGTGAAATTCCTTGTTGTTGATTCAAGTCACCCAGAAAGTAACTAGTTTGTTATGGGTGTGAAGATAAAGGCAAGAGGTTACTCAAAGCTTAATGACAGCCTGGTATTTATGTAATGATGTAATGCAAGCATGCCACGTAGCTGATTGGACATTTACTAACTACTGCTTATTGTTTTTTTAGGCTCTTTCTAAAGAACTTTTGTACAGAGTTTTTACAAAATTGCTACAATCCACTTATGAACATAGTTAAGGTCAGTAATAATTATCTGTCAAATATGGGCAGACATTTGTAACCCCTGCAAACATTTTGTTTTGTGGCTTACAGTATGTGAACATGAAATATCTGACAATTATTGTATTCATTAGGATAATATTAAACATGGGAGATCCCAAGAGAATGATGAAACATACTTCTTATGGGCCATGAGGTATGAGACTCTAGGTTTTTTTTCATTGACAGGCCACTCTGGAGAGAAGTGTGTAAAATGAATGTCACAGTAGTGGATGTCTGAAATTATAATTATAATTGTTGTACTGCAGCACCAAACCTGTAACCATCTATCTGCTTTTGACAATACTTTTGTCTGTGTCTAGTCTCCAGTTATTGCACTGTAGCCAAACTGTTTTTAAGGCAGACGTCTTGAAGTAATGTTTTAGTTAAAAATGCTACAGAGCAGGCAGCAAGGTTTTTTATCCTGTTTAAGCATACAGTAGTGCATGACTACAGTTAAATACACAGTGGGCAAGGCTAAGCAATCTCTGTATTGAAACTAGCAAATACTTCAATCTCCTGCCTTCATTCTTACTGTGCAAGTCATGTTAGGCACGCATCCAAACAAATATGTAGTGACTTGAACAAAATCATTCTTAACTCTTTACTAGGTTTTTCATGGAATTCAGTAGGCACCATGACTTCCGAGTGGATTATATCAGGTAAAAAATATTGAACCTCCCTGGCACTGTCATGTTCATTGCCTTGCATATCATTTCTTTTCAGTTGTCTAAACAACTGCTGTTCATTTTTGTTTTGTTCATTATTTCAGTGAGACACTGAGTGTGGTGACTTTTACTGACCTGCTAAACATTATCATCAAATTTTATGATGGCTTAGAATCAAACAAAAGTGAAGCATTCATTTGGGGGCGGAGGTAAGAATATTATACTGTCATGCTGGAATATTAACATGGGCAGGGTATTTAATGCCAGGACTTTCTTTTACCATGCATATTTTATTCTGTGTAATGTTTCCTTCAAGTTACATTGTGTGACATGTAGCTAGTCTTGGCTGTGAATGTGTGGGATTGTGAGACCATTTTCAAGTTTTTTCAGTAATGTGCAGAATGTACTTGATGTTGTTTTATTCCTCAGTTACTTGCCTCACCCGAACTCATGATTTGTAAATTAATTGATTTTTTTTCTTTGGTTTTAGTTTTATGATTGTAGAAATCTACATACTAAATTGTTCTGTGATTTATTGTAATATTAACTCACTCTAAAAATTTCTTTAGGCTTCACCTTGCAATCCAAGCTTACAAAGAGTTGCTTATGAATGTCATATCCATGGATAACTCTGAGGATGATAATCTGAGTGAAAATGCCAAGATCATTAAAGGTAAAGCTTAGTGTTCACAGCATCATGATGTTAAAACATGTTAAATGTTGAATGTTTAAGGTGGTTGATGTGCTTAGCTACAACTAGCTAGTTCTCAGGCATGCCACTTAAACTGAAAGAAACAAATATTTCAAATAAACATAACAGGCTTAAAAATCCCAACTTGTAAGAGGCAGACAAGTTGTACTTAATAAAGTACCTTACCTTAGTTACCTTAATGTAGTGGCTGGATTAAGCCTTGGTTACTTTTGGCAAATCATATTTTAACGCGTTGATGTCTGTATTTCAAGAACAGTGTGATGATGTCAGAGGGGTTGTTTTTTCCTCTTTCCTTGTTGACCAGTGTTTCTTCTCTGTTATTATTTTCAACTTGGTCATGGATACCTGTGTCATTTAACTGAGCAGGTATCTATTGTTATTTGTATACACATTGCGTATCTAGAGTGTTGTGTGCATGACAGAAAAACATGTGCTCGCCCGCCATGGAGGATAGTTGAAATACAGAGTTGTGTTCTACCAAATGTTTTGGCTTATTGCCTTATGTCACAATAGTATCTTCTGTAGTTAAGTCTTCGTGTTATAATTGTGTACTTTTTGTTCCTGACTCCTCAGGCAACATTTTCTACACACCTGAATATAGGGATACATTTCTATCCCTTCTCCGGAAGTTTAACATGTCCAAACAGACCAAGTATGAATGAGTTTATTAATTCTGTTGAAAGTAATACTTTTCTTAAGTGTATTCATGCAGAATACTTTCTATTGACTAGTATTTTAAACATGATCCAATTATGTTTGAACTGGTTTGGTAGGTTAAAACCTAGTCACTGTTAAATGTGTGTGTAACACGTTTCTTTTCTCAAGGGGCTACCTTAGAGACTTAATTGAAGCTTTTCATATTTTCCTGAAAATGCTGGAAAAGTACTGTGCTGGAAAATCGCACTTGGTTGTACAGGTAAGCCTGTCTTACAAGATGCTTAATGTACTTTTCACAGTCTCCTAAATTTTGAGCTGGTGCAGTAGAAATGCACCAATGATGTCTAGCGTGATACACACAGGGCTCGACTTTCAGGTAAAAACCTAGGGCCAGCTGGTCCCTAAGTTTTCAGATTTAGTCGCCAGCAAAAGTATTTCCATCAGTGAAAAGCATCAAAAGTTAGTCGCCAGTGGGGAAAAAAAAATCGTAGAGCTCTAACACATATTTTGTGGTGTATTAAAAGTAATACCAAAATCTCTAAGAAAAGGCAGCTGAAAATATTTGCTATATTTCCATTTGAAAGTTCAGTGTTTACATGTAACCTCATGTAAAAAGTACAACCAAAAATTATTCATAGAATGTAAAAGGATATCTTTAATTCTGATTTTTAGAAAAAGAAGAAAGTTTCAAAGAAGAAAAAAAGAAATCAGCACTTAGGTAAGTCTAGTTAGCAGACTTGCAAGTCTTTCCAACTTAATAACTCATCATTGAACAAGTATTGCATCTCTTAATTCGCATCAACCTTGTAATCCCAAGAGAACTCGAAGAGATAGATGTTTCTAAGGTGACCCCTTACTCATCTTTCTGGTGTATTTCTAGCAGCCCCTGTAAACCTGACTGCAGAGGAAATTGAGCAGAAGTGGCAGGAGTTAGCTTCTGACCTCTCAGCCATTCTTCAGGGACATGCCGGGGAGATTCCTGAGTCAGCCATACCTTTTGATGCTGCATCTGAAGTCCCAGTTGACGAACAAAAGTGAGTTACTGGAGAGGAGAGACACTTGATGACCCATTTCCATAGTTATATTAGTCTCTACTGAGATAGTGCTCTATACAATGTTGATAATATAAGTAACTTTGCTAAGCCAACCTGCGATTACACTTCGTACTAATATTATTATTGACTCATGTCTCACTTTTTAAAAACAGAATTAATTTGTGAAAAGCTGTGTGGGGGATGGAGAGCCGAAGGATTAGTGGACAAAAAAGACGATGTCTGCAAAAGCTCCATGTCTCTCTTTTAACGTCTATTTCTTGCCTTGCAGTTTAAGTTGAAGCTCGCTCTGTTAAAGTATTGATGTACAATCCCTAGAATAGAGCAGTTAGTCTGAAAATTTAATGGAACAAAGTCTTTACTAAGCATGTTTTTTCTCTTATTTAAGGACAAATGCTCTATCCCAGGTTCAAGGGTTGCTGAGAAATCAGTTGTGTGGGGAAGCTGTGGCATTGCTCAGAGCTGCAAGGTAATGGATGTCACGACCTTACAAGCACTCTAAATAAGGAATTTATAAATAAAATGGGTGAACACCATTAAAATGTTGTAATTAGAAAGCATTAAGACAAGAGTGGATAGCTCAAGGAACTGACGGAAGAGTAACCAGTAATACCTCCCAAGTAAGGAGAATTAAGAAAACCATCAGTCAGAGTAATTTATGTGTTCTTCATGTACCAATGCATTCTCAGAATTATTATTAACTGACATCAGGAGAACAGATTTGTCATTCTAGCTTGCTTTTCATGTTCACTTCAGAGATGTTTGGGCAGACGATGACCACTTTGGATCAGTTGGAATTAGTGCTGAAGATGAATTCATATGCTTGTGTGATATTTTCAAAATGGACCTTCCTTCTGGTGAGTAAATTCCCTTTGCATGCAACATTTGACCTAAGAAACATAAGATGCGTTTTAAATGTACCAGTATCTTCTAACTCTAGACTTGAAATACTCCTATGGGGTCTTGTTTGTTTTTTGTTGGTACAGTCGAACCTCGATTATCCGCACTCGTTGGGACTAGACCAAATAGTCCAGATAATTGAGCATCCAGATAATCGAAAATATGAATATTAATGAAGAACAAAACTGTTTAAATAAAGCAACATTTAATCGAGAAACAACACTTTTACAAATTGTTTGGAAAACAATATTGTCCACTGTATATCTTGAACCACTCAACTCTGAGCCAATCAGAACTCATTCAAGTGTTCTTCATTAGTTACGACGCGTGCGAGCGCTGCTTTTAAAAGCAAAACAAACTCGTTTTTGACTGCACTTTTCAATGCTATAGTTTTAAAAAGAATATTGCTACGGATCTTGATCATGACTAATAAATATTCATGACAACATTGGGACTAGAGAAAAAGTGCGGATAATCAAGGTACGGATAATCGAGGTTCCATTGTACCATTTTGGCAGAGAAAATCAATTTGTAATGCATACTGTTTTGACATTTTAGTGGGCATTCCAAATGAAAATGAAGAAGATGAAAGAGAAGAAGAGACAAATCCAGGTCTGTGCTGCATTTTTTTTAAAGCAAAGAACTGATGTCAAAACAGCGTTTGGTCTTTGTTCCTTACAGCTGAATGCTGATCCATTTGTGGCATTAAATCTTGGGAAAAAGGCCAACTGTTTAAGGTTTCTATAATAAATATAGCTGGCTCTTTGTGTCACTCAACAGAAGAGGAAGAGATGGCCGCTGTACAGACAAGTGAAGTGGAGTTTAGCATCCAGGATTTTCTGAACAAGTAAGCTATAAAGTACTTGAGGTACAGCTCTTGAATTATGCAAACACTGGCTTTAGAATGTCGGGCATTTTATACAAACAGCATTACTGATGGCTTTATTCTGTAATTTGTCCAGTGAAAGTCAAGTAAATGACATTCAGGAAACAAATTCTTATCTTAAATAAAGGGATCAAACAACAATGTTTTGGTCCTTTGGAAATTACAGACATTAATTAATCAGCTGTGTTTAAAGGCGCTATTTCACGGTATGTTGGGTAATTTTTTTTGTGATGTTTAAAGTCACCTTCCAGTTGAGGGAAACTAGGAAATAAAAAAAAAAACCAAATGGGTAGCAGTACTTGTGAAATAGCAGGAAACAAAGATTAGGTTTCTTTCAAGTGATTTGATTATCAAAAGGTTAGACTTTCAGACTTGCATTCTGTTGCTTCATAGACTAGCCACTCCTTCCATTCTGCGGCCATATTGCTGGCTACTGAAACACTACAAAGAGAACAAGGAAACAACAAACCATGCAATCGTTAAGATGCTTCACCGAGTAGCTGTGGACCTGAAGACTCCAGCCATGCTGTTCCAGTTGTCCCTGTTTTGCACATTCCAAAAAATTCTGTCTGATCCAGCAGCAAATCAATATAAGGTAAGCTAGCTTATCCTTGTCATTTTAAAACTCCAAAACATTCATTCTCAACCTCAGTTGTTGTGCATTTCTTTCCATGCTTTGTTGTGATTGAACATGAGGACATACTCTCTCAGCAGGCCAGGAGGGCAACTGGTTTTCATAGGCGGGAAAAACTATTTGATCTGATATTCTCTATAAGAAAATTTTCAACTAAGTAGTCAAACCAGCTGGACAAAATCGTCCTTACAGCCGGTCAATTTACCTGGTAGGTGAAGATAAAGTCTGTATACGAGCCAAGGGGCTAATCAGGCCAGAGCTTATCCCGGTTGCTGTAGCATGAAGCGACTAGGAGTATTTTTATTCCCCCCTGGATGGGATGCTGGTCCATCACAGGGTTACCCCAGCATTATAGGTCGCCGGTACCCATTAATACACCTGAGTGGAGAGAGGCACTGTGAGAGTAAAGTGTCTGGCCTAAGAACACAACACAATGTCCATGGCCAGGACTCTAACCCGGACCGCTCGATCCGCAGACAAGCGCACTAACCATGAGGCCACTATGCCTCCAAACAATCCTTGTCCTCACAACCAGTCAACTTTCCTGGTGCCTAGCCCCTAATGGAACCCCTGCAATCTCTTTTTCTTGATGATTGTTTTTCTGTACTTGAAACTGTATTATCATTTTTGATTGATATGGGATTACAAAGTACATTGCTAAGTGAATAAAGGAACAAACAAACAAATGACTCCATGAAAAAGGCTTTGTCTTCTTGGTCCGTGCTGTAAGTTGCAGATCCCTTAACTTAATTCAGGCTCTTGGTCAGTTGGGGACAAGCCAAAAAGCGGGGGGGCGACGAGTGGCGCCTGGGAGAGGAAGGGAGAAGGAAGATCTTTCCTCTTCTCTCTCCCAGATCGTGCTCCTCACCCACCCACGTTTTCAATAGAAAGCCTGGAACAGGCTTCAGATCCCCATTGATTTATGGCCCACGTGCTGCGCGCTTTGGCCATAAATCGAAAGGGAATAAACTCTATCCATATTGGGGTAACTTACAGTATGGACCTCCAACGCAGTTAGCTAGCGGTTTTAGCTGTCTAAATGTCAGGTTTCTTATGATTTGCTTTTATGCACAGGAAATGGTCAAGTTTTCTCGCTATATTGTTGCCAAGTTCTTTGAACTGTTGCCAAAAAATCCAGTGCTTCTGGCTGAACTTGTAGTTTGGAAGACTTCCGGAGATTGTTATGAAATAGTCGAAGGTTATGGATCCCTTGCACTGAGGTATGAAACAGCTCTATTATCGTGTTTGGAACGACCAAGACCGTATGGTTACTTTGATAAATGTGCATTTGTTCTGCTGGGGTTGCATTTTATACAAAAAATTCTGACGAGATCTACTTTATTCCAGTTTAAATCGTACTACTCTCTCTCTCTCTCTCTGTCGCAGGTTAAAACTAATAACCATACCTACATACAGTCTTGAAAGGTTTATAAATTTGTAATCTCTTCCCTTTCCTTTGTCATCCATGGCAGAACTTCAATTCTTGAACTACTATTGAACTGCTGTTTTATTTACCGTTTGGTATCGTAAGATTCAAAAGCGTAAAATCTCTTCATTATTTACTGTCTTGGACGCCTTTCAAGGATGTTTCGTGTGGAAGTAGTGTGGAAAGCTGCAGAGGTTTTTGCCTTGGATTCATTATGTCTCTTGTCTCAGCCCCGTGGCGTGCATTTGGCGTTCCAACGCGAAGGTCGCCAAAAATTAATAATATGACCTTGATTGGTGTAGCTGAGGAATTATTCTGGTGTCGACCTTCTCTGATCAATGAAGACTAAGATGTAATTGTCAAAAGGCCCAGGTTTCAGCAGCGATAAGTCGAGAGAAGCCTCAAGTGACAACCCGAATAACTGCTGCGAAGGACACTACTATTTAGCTTATCACAATTATTACAACTTAGGCAGAGAGCGTTAGGTTGAAGAAACACTCTGTGGCTTTTACGGGACCAGGCGCCTTCATATGGAGTACATCTTGACCAAGCTAAGAAATAAATGCTTTTCAATCTAAATCTCTCAATCGTTTCATAGATCTGCAAGTCAAAGCGCATCAGTTTGGACATTCGAAGAGGAAGAGGAGTTAAGAGAACTGTATGAGCAGTACAAAGGCTCAGAAGGTATGGGTCGAATCTTTCTCTTGTGATATGGTTCTTGTTTTTGAACTTCAAGGTCACCTAGACTCTGGATTGTATCATAACCAGTTTATGCATGCCTTTCATCAGATCTGGTGGATACAATTATGGATAAGATGTCTAACGATACCAAGAGCAGACGGCAAGTAAGTTGAAATCTTTAACTTCAATATACGTTGCCTAACCGACTACATTACTGTTTCGGACTTTGAAAATCTGTGGTAGTACTGTCAAAATTTGATCTAAGACTGCTTCAACATTCGACTCGATCCAATAGAGCATTGCAGAAATAGAGTAAATTGTTATAAACATTCAAAGCTTTTGGGAATAAGGAAAAGGGCCTGAATTTTACTCTGGGCATTTTATATTTCATATACGAGAGGTCATTTCCCTCATAACAGTCGGAAGTAGAAAAATGGTTCGAATGCGTTGTTACTAGGAATTTTTTTTTGCAATGCGCTTGTTAAAAATACCTCATGTCAAAGCAGATTTTTTGGGGGTGAGACATCAAAAACCTTTTCTACCCAGGTAAACACGGTTCATGTGTCGCAGAATCTCTTAAAGGTGACGATGTTGAAGTATTGATTAGCTCATAAGATTGCAGACTAGTGGTGTCACTTTTAAATTGCAGATCATGAACAAGCTGGTGTTAATGAAGCTGGTTACAAACAGAAAGGAGCTGCATAAGTATGCCTCAGTCTTTGTTAATGTAGAAATTTAGCTTAGGATTTGAAAGAGCAGTCTCAAGTTAAAGATGATAAGGAATAACTTGTTCTAATATACAACACTCTGTTGGGTGAGAAACCTACTCAGTTTGTCTTATTTCTTTACATCTCTCAGAAAGCCAGCAAAGAAAGGAGTATGGCCTGAAGAAGAGGTTGAACAACTGAGAGCTTTGTATGAGGAATACAAGAATTCAGAAGAGGAAGGTAACATCTTAGTACATGGTAAAATCAGTAGAGCTAACTGCTGCCAGAGGACTGGTGTACCCTGTATTTACTTTGGAATGTTCTGTTCCACCAGTCAGTGATCAGATGAAGCTGTAGGAAGAACTAGTCAATCCTCCGTAGGAAAAAAGGATGGCGACTGGTACATTTACCCATAACTCTAAGCGCACAAAATCTTTAACAACGCTCATAAGAACGTACAGAAAAGTTCTAACATCTTCAAACCTAGCAAACACTATGTCGTTAGCTCAAGGACAAATATTGTAAAATATGGCTCTCTTTGTACTTTATGGGCTGTGTCAGGGTGGCATGGTATTGTGGTAAAATGTGCAGCCGCCATCTTTTTTTCCTACGAAGGATTCAATTGTTCACAGTTCTGTTGCTCCTCACTGATTCCGGCAAAAGCTTTAAAATAGAGAATCATGATAATCATATTTTTATCAGTGTAAACATTGTGAAAAATCGTCAATATACTGCGTTCTTCCGTGAAATAACGGAACCTTCAGTGGTAATTTGTTTATCGTGCAGTTTCGTTGTTCCTCGTAACGAATACCTACATTTGATAGTTTACCAAAATTATTAAAATGGGCTGATTTTGTTCTTTTCTTCTCAGATGTTGTGGAGAGAATCATGGAGCATATGCTCAATGCGTCAAGGACAAGACGTCAGGTAGATAACGTTTTGATCTACTTCTGTTAAAGTCGAACTCCTTCATACGGACACCTCTAAAGGGCACCTTGCTATAAATGTTCTTTAAAAAGTATCCTTGATACCAACAACGGAAACTACAGTGTAAACGCAGTTCCAGAGACCAAGCATCTTTTAAACTGGCAGTCTTGTACAAGGTGTTTTTTATTGCTCCAGCTCCGAGAATACCCATAACGTTAATTTGTATTCATTTGAAGTACTTTTTGGCACAACGTAAGCTGATTACAGTTTACTAGAGCGTTGTAAATAACATCAAACATGTGACGTGTACTTTAATGCGAACAGTTTGGTCTGTTGTCTGTATTTGAGTTTTGACAGTAAATTGGCAAATCATTCATGATGTAATATTGCAACATAACAATACTTTAAAGTTCATATAGTTCACTGTGGTAAAAAGCACATAATACTGAGCTGAGGAAAATTGAGACGGAGTGGAAACAATAAACTTGAAAATTTTCGACTATATTTTCCAAGATGCAGCACCTGTAAACACCTAGGGATTATCAATGCCTTCGTCTGTATTGTTAGGTTGTAAACCAGCTTGTAAACATGGGGCTTGTTGAAGACCGGAAGACGCTTCGGAAGAAAAAGAAGAAGGGCAATAGAAAGAGGAAGAAGGATGATAGATTTGTAGTGGTAATTTAGTCATTGACTATTCGCATGAGCTTGGAGCTTTTCTCTCCACTTTAACTTGTTTTTGTTCTTTTAAATGATTTTTACCATCGTTGGCGAGAAAGTGAAGTGAAGTGGAGTAGTGTTGGAGCACGGCTTTCTAATTCTACCAGTCAGTTGACAGGAAGCACTAAACACGTCGCTGCATTTTGTTGTTACCGAACTGAAATCACAGTATCTTCTGAAACGGAGGCTTTCCTTCAAGTGATTTTGAGACATTCAATTACAACTGATACGGTTAAGTCTGGGGTTTTTGTTTTGCCATGCATTTGCGACTGTCTAATTCACCTTAGTTGGAAACAAAAATTTAAATAGATTTGCATCGTGCCATTCCTTGATCGGAGCAACTCCTTTGAACCAACAGGTCAGGCCAAGACATGCAGGCATTGTTTCGTATCGGTGAATTTTGGTATTATCCTTATCTCCGTAACACAATATTAAATTGACAGTAATTTGATTTTAGGATGACGAGGATGAGGACAATGAAAGTGAAGGTAAACTGAATGACTACTGAAGTACAATACCCCTGAACTGTTTGAAGTTCTGGGAGCTGCAGTGTAATGAGCAGAGCAGACCCTGCAATATGTAACAATCTCAGCCAGGCGTGGAAAACAACATAAAATAATATTGTTGAATCTTAGATACTTAATTTAATGACTTCATACAGTTACACGTGATTTCACATCCTTATAAAGGGATCCTGGTCAAACAATGACTTAAGCATTTATTACCAGTCTGCCAAATTTAACACATCAATCCTTTTTCTTCATATTACTCCATGATAAGCAATCGCCACCAACAGCATAACGTAAAGCCAATTTTGAGCCTACATAAAACGAAATACAAAGTATCGAGGTACACATTGTTAACCCTAATTAAGAAATGATTTATTTTGTTTTGAGAAGATGGAAATAGTATCAACGAGGAAGGCTTTGACCATCCGCCAAGTTCCTCATCTGAAGAGTCAGAATCTGATGAGGCAGAAGAAGAAGCTGATGACAGTGGAGGAACTCTGAATAGCATCATCAGCAAGCTCAGTAGTGCAGGTATTAATGTTTCCAGTTTTTTTTTAAAGATCAAGTAAATTTCCTCCCTTCTGAAGTTCCTACAAGAAGGTAAATGCGGATAATGAGATCGGCTTTCTTCAAGCCTAGAATAGAATGTCAGTAGACTAGAGTAGCTTGGTTTCTGGTGAAACTTTAACTTTAAGTGCTTGGCGCAGACACCTACCTTATTCCATGAATAAAAATTGTGTGATGTTGTTTAGGATTAAGTCAACAACTGAAGTGGATTCAGTCGAAGCTTCTTAGGACTGCAGATGATAGAGAAAGTACAGGTAAACTAACTTTTATTTCCTTGCACTGTACACAGGGAAGGTCTAGGAGTTGCTAAACTAAGTAATTTTATTCTTCCAGATCTTGTATTCCGTGTAAGTTTTATCATTGACAGTAAGCAACCCAACAAGGACGACTTTTAATTGTCATGGGGCGTAACTCGGCCACTAGAATCCAAGCCACATAAGGTTTCAAAACAGCTTCGTTTGTTTCCGAACCTCCTACAGGCTGCGTCGTGTAATAAGAAGAGGAAATACGTGTCTTTTTTTTACTGTTACCAAGAAGTCACGAAGTACGGAGTACTGGCCATTATTTTCAGTAAAAGTATTTAA